TATATATAAGAGCCAGCTGATCATTATCTGATATACAATATTCTTCATATATATGAATAATGTTGACATGGTTATGTACATATATAACTAATATAGTGCTGACTTTATTTTTTTCATAGCATATTCACTTACTCATATTCATAGATATTATAGAGCATTAGTTTATTTGAATACAAGTTATAAATATTATTTATTTATTTATTTTTACTGAAAATAAAAAGTATTTTTCGAAAGAAAAATCTTCAATTAACATTTTTAAACTTATATCTAAACAAAATATTTATTTTTTATATATATATATTCTCTTGTATCCGGATACAAGATGAATTTACTTATTTAGGATATAAATGACAAAGGTGGTGTTAGTGTGGCAGATGTTCTGCCACCAAGAAGTAGAACAGCCCCATCACTCCGGTGTGCCTTTCATTGCTGTTGTAGATAACCTCTAGAGTTAAGGTTTCACCATCTCTTATTTTGACAGTACCTGGTTTAGGGTAACATGTGGACATTCCTACAACATACCCTTTCTCGTTTCCTGCTTCTGTTCCATTTCCATATTTTGCTATTGAAGAACAGATAACCTTCCCATCCTGAAATTTGATCATGGCCAAAATTTCCAACAATATATATAAGCTCTTCTCAACATTATTTAGTTAACCTATCACAACTTTGGGATATAAACATCTTACAAATTAAGTTTTTATTTTTATGGGTTCAAAGAATATGGTTAATCGAAAAATAGTAAAAGAAGCATGATGATTCAATTTCTTAATTAAATATATAACATAGAAGTTTTTATTTTTATTTTTGTATTCCTTTTACTTCCCTTTTTTTTTTTGGTGAATATGTGTGCATTTGGTGAGGCAAAAGTATACCAATGAAGAGATTTTTAAAAAGAAAAGGAGCTATTACTAGTAAAATGGATAAAGATTCACCATTTCTTAATTTTTATCACAAGTAAAATGTTTATGATTCTCAAATGAAATTAATGACATGAAAGGAACAAAGGTGCGAAGTTAGACTACCTTTGACTTTTAAGGGTAAAAAATATATATAGTACCATTTTCCATGTTTAGCGTTTACTTATTTAATCATGTGACTAGCTAAAGAGCGATATATAATATTCAACTATTAAGAATGATTATAATTATTGAACAAATATCACCTGTCCATATAGAGTTGATCCAATTGCACCTGCATGCTGATGACCAACTCCATAGATGACATAACCACCAGTTTTCATTGGGAGGCTTGTTCTCTTCACATCAATGCAAGCACTACTATTGTATCCTTTGTTGCAAGGTTCAACCTCATACTCAACCTGTACCAAAATAAATCTTCTTTTTATTATTACTTATATATACATCCAACCAAATGGTTCTGGCCGGTGCTTTTAATTTGACAATTTTCTCTTTTACCTAATAAACTAAAAACTTCAAGTGTCATAATTTTAATGAAAAAAATACATAATTTAAGAGTTATAATTAATGACTTCCTTTAAAGTTGATATTAATTACATGTACATATACCCTTTAATTAAATCCAAAAAAAAGTTTATGAATGGTCCATAGTCAATGCATAAAAGTAAAAGAGATACTCTTAAAACTTTAAAATTTTAGACTTTTTTAATATATTTTTCTTTTCTCTTAAAACTTATTATCTTTTAAAATTTTAAGATTGCTTAAATTATTTTCCAATCATATCCTTATTTAACAAATGTATGGATTTGGAACAAATAAATTGTACGGAGAATTAATATTCATGCAAGATTACCTTAATAGACTTAACAAACTAAATGAAACAAGTATATATTTTAATGAAATTTTACATCACTTAATGATTTCTTAATCTATGTACACCAATCTTAAAATAATTTAGAATGGAGGGAGTGTATATAACTTTAAAAAAAATCAATTAGCAAAAATAATATATAAAGTAAGATAAATAGTTGTAGTATTTAAAACCATTGTTAGTATAATTAAAGCCAATTGAAGCAATCAATCCTTTAATCTATGTTTCTTCAGAGTAATTCACTTACCTTGCAAGTATGCTCTGGACTCATTCCTTTGGACTTATTCAAAACATCAGTCACATCAATTATATAAATCTTAAGGGGCACCACATACTTGTCCCAGTTGACCCACTTCACTGTGTACTTAAGGTAGAAGCTTCTCTTAGGGCCCTTGAACCCTTTCTTCAGCCTGCACTGGGAATTATCAGGGCAACAATCCAACCCTCCTCTATAATATGGACTCAAAGGCTTCCCATCTCCATCCTTTGTAACATTATAAAGTTCACACCTACACTCAGTGCACCCACTTCTATCTTCCACACCCCTTGTATCAATAGCATGCACATTGATGAACCACTTCTCCTCGTAACCATGTGGAATTTCTGAAGGGTTTCCGATTTCCACACCAAAAGGGTCTGGAACATCAGTGTCAGTTCCTCTTGTCTCAGATCCAAGCCCATAATACTGTCCAAGAGTATCACCCTGGCAGAAGCCACTGTTCCTCACTGGGACAATGTTATCTGTTGAGTTATTGTGTGACACATTTTTGGGTTGGTGGTATTTTACTACAAGCCAGTGGTGGAGATATACTTCTTGAAGGGATACTGATTTCCCTGATTCATCAACTACTTCTGCATTGAAACTCTTGATCGCAACATGGCCTCTTGGGAAGTCAACATCTAAGTAATCTTTGTTTACAACTGACCCTGGACCAAGCTCAAACTTTGGTGATAGAAAAACATCTGTTTTTATGTTGTTCTCAGGTTTCCCCATAGCAGTTGATGAATATGTTGTGCATGATAGTAAAAGTAATAGTGCCCATGAAAGCACCCAATCTTGAGATGCAAATCTCATGTTGATCTGTATATATGTTAGCATAATTTCTGTTAGCTATAATTAATCAAAAGTATCATCTTAACTAATTAAAATAAATATCATGATATATAGTATATTGATACAAAGTAATATATGGTAAAATCCTTAAAATACATCTTTAGAAGATGTATTTTATTTTTGTCTATTATAATCTTCCATTGCTCCTCACACCAAAAACTAGGTATATCCAGAATAAAATTTGTTGAATTAATTTGCTTGATAATAGTTCGATAAGATTAATAATAATTATTATAATAGATTTTAATATCATCTTAAGAAAATAATTTATATATATATATATATATTATTTTATTCATATTATTAATTGACATTGGATCTCTAATACTAAATATGAGTAATTTATAAGAGCCTTTTAAGATATATGATCTTTTGTGTTATAAAAATTAAAACAAAATAAAATTAATGAGCAAACAAAAGCAAGCCATGCATGTTACCTTTGATTGTTTTATGACCTGGATTAAATCGACTAATGGGTAGTAATAATCAAGTTTATGAACTTTGAAAGATTAAGATAGTGTTAATGATGTATGCAGCAAGAAGTGGAAAATGAAGGAGCATACCTCAAACAATTGTTTGACAAGCGAGAGTAATAACTGGTACTTAACAGTATCGCGTAGCAGGATTTCAACTACAATGCTTCAATTGTTAACCTAAGAAAAGATTTATATAGCAATAGGTGGAGTGTTGTCCAATGCGGATGCTCTAAGCCATGACGTTAACCAAACATTGATAATCAACTTAGAATGTGTGTTTGAACTTTGAACTTTGAATATATGCTTTTAACTAAAAATAATAATTAAATTAATAGAAAAGAATGAACTACTAATTTTCGACGAACATCGCGAGAGTAGACTAAACGATATATATATATATATATGTGTGTATGAATATGTATGAAGAATGATCCATTTATTCTAGGAGTAAGTCTACCTAAATTTACTTTGTTTAATAACTCATGCTTCATATCAAATCTCAACGATCCAACAGTTGAATTTAAAATTCTTAATGTATGATCAAATCTGCAAAATTTTAAAAAATTTGAAAATCATTTGATACTTCGTTTCATTAATTCAAATTGACGGATATCCGTCAATTTGAATGGATGCAACGAAATATAAAATTATTTTAAAAAATTTTAAAAATGTGCATATTTGCTCTATACATTAAAAACTTTAAATTCAACGGTTGGATCGTTAAAATTTAATATAAAATATGAGTTATTAAACGGAATAATTAGTCTAAGTGGACGTATTCCTAGCGTAAACAAATCCTCATATATATATTCTACTTGGACTACATTAATTCTCTGGGGATAAAAAAGTAATTCTAGAGGATATAAAACTACATATAAAAATATTTTATTTGTAATAAAGAAAAGAAAATACAAATGCAAATATATATTACGTTAGATATTGGTAGTTGAATTTTCTTTGCAGAGGATATTTAATTATTTATTTGAGTATACCAGTATATATATTATAGTTAATTATATATAGAATAATTATGGAGATTACTAATTAAAGAGTTCAATACATTTTAGTATAAATATGGAAATTTTCAATTTTACTACTTCAATAATAATTTTTTTGCTTTTGATCTTTATAAATTTTAAAATTTGTGAGAATTATCTTTGTTATCATTTAAAGATGTTATATGCATCATGTCACATTTCATTTCAGAATAATTAGTGACTTGGTTTGTCAAAATGTAATTTTAATTAATGAATGATATTCAAATATTAATTTATTAGTATATAAGTACTTATGTATCTTAAATAAAATCTTAGAAACCTTTTATATATAAAGATAAATATATCATTAAGAAATTAATTTCCATCATGCTACGAGTCTCGATTCAAATAAAATTATCTTCAATAAAAGATATTTTTAGTATAAATAATTAAAAAGTATATTAATGCAGTTTTTTTTTACCTATTTATAATCAATATAAGTAGCACACTGTATTATATGATTATCTTAAAGATTAGTTTACTTTTAATTGCTACAAAATTCAGAAGAATTAACTATAAAAATTAAATTTTAAAAATTTAAAACCATAAGATGATGAATATTTTTATATTAATTTAGGATTAACATATGTAATAGAATATGTATTCTTTTTTTTGAATTTATACAAATTAATATGATTTAAAAATAATAATTATAAAAAATAACAATGACTAATATATAAGGCAACTTGACAAGTTATTTGGGGGCATCAATATAATTGATGTAATCGTGCAGAGTTATTTGATTTTACTTGATTGTTCCTATGTGTCACTTTCTTTATTTAAATATTTGTTTTGACTCTTCAACGACAAATATTTTATGTAGTAAATATTTTAAATTTTATGTAAACTCACCTGCGCAACTTCTCGCCATTGCGATTATCTTGAATATGGAATTAATTATTCAATCTTTTATATATATGCTATATTGTTTTAGCCAGCTGGCCATCAACATATATAATTTATTTATTTATAAAAGATCCATGAACTTTTGACCCAATATTTGTTTTACTATTGCAAGATTGCATCTCAAGAAAATTACTGACAAACTCTTATATTATTATATTTAAATCATTAGAAAACATTTATCACTTTAATTCTTAACTTTTTAAAATATTTATTCAATTTTTAATTACTTTGTAAAGTATCATTTATTTTAATTCTTAATATAATATCAGTAAAAAAAATACTTTTTGATGTTTAACATTAATTGATATGTTTGGATTGATGATGAAGATCGATGATGATCTTATTCTTAATTGCATTCATTACACCTTATCATATAAGTTAGATGACTATATAATATATCAAGTGATTTTTTTATTATTATTAATTATGATCATGAAAATGAGTTACAAATCAGCCATAAAATTGTACAATGAAAGTTAATTAATTATACACCCTTGTCCAACTCTAATTACTTTAGTATTACATTTATTAAGTGCCTCTTGGAGGAAATGACTTAGCTCAGAAGGAAATTTGAACATTCAACATGACTTAGCCCCATGACATGATACTTCGATCTTACCGTTAATTACGACATTAATTAATATTGAATCGTGATTACATTAATTAATATATTAGAGTACAAATTGTGTTTTTTTTAATCATAATATTAATAAAAAAATAATTAATAATTTTCGTAGTATAATTTATGCAGATTTCGAATAATTAAAATGGTTGAAACTAATAAGAAAACAACTACAATCGGCATTCTGTTCCGCGGCACAACTGCACAAGCAACCCTTCACTCCGTACTCAGGTTAGTATTCATTTTTCATTTTTCATTTTCTTCTGTATGTTGGTTAGTATATCTTTGTTTTCTCAAATTATCATTGCAATGTAACCAAGAAATTCTTCTTCAATTCTATTAAATGCATAGAGAAATAGGATTTCTTGGACTCTGATATATATCCTTCTCTCAAACTAATTTATTCTATGACTAAAGTTAAGATTCAAATTCTGAACATTTTTATTAAAAGACACGAGTTACTAGCATTTATATCATAGTATTAGTATTAATTGTGTTGATGAAGAGAATTGTACTGACTTGCATTGCTCGTGTTCTGTTACAATTGTTATATATATATATATATATATATATATATATATATATATATATATATGAGGAGGGTTCAAACGAAGTGTAACTTTTACTAAGTGTTACAGTACTGTTCAATAACTTTATATTAAATGTAAATTTTATAAATCCAACCGTTAGATTGAAAGTTCATATCAATTTATATGTGTATGTCAAATTTTATTAAAATTAAACAATAACTTGAGGGTAATCAAAGTGTTCATATTTTAGTATATTTTGAAAAAAATATATTACGTCAAATTTTTTTTTTATAAGAATGAAGTATCAAATCATCTTGGATTACTATAAAATTTTGTATATATAATTTAAGAGTAAAGAACTTTCAATCTAACGGTTGAATTTATAAAATTCACATTTAATATAAAGTTATTGAACGGTGTAACACTTAGTAAAAGTTACACCAGTATCATTTGAATCCTCCTCTATATATATATATATTGTAATGTGTGAGTGTAAGAATTTATTTTAATGCTTTTTTTTAGTTAGTATTAAAATATCCTTCAACTAGTGAATATTTAGTGAAGTTGATTTTGCTTCTCTAAACAAAGTATTCTTCACATATCATACTCATGATTAATCTCTTTCAATATAATTAAAAAATTCCTATTGAACCTTGTTGCTACTATTTTTAGTATGTTTTATGGGATTTTAGATAGTAAACTAGTATTTTAATTTATGTATCATGATAGATTAGGAATGAAAATGGGGTGAGGTGAGTAAAAATTTCATTATTGTTGTTCGTATTCTTATACTTTATATTTATTATTGTTTTTATATAAGATTTATGTCTCTATTCTTGTTCTTATTAAATATTGAGTATACTAATACTTGTCATGTTTTCACCCAAAAATTAATTAAATATTTTTTTTTAAAATATTAAAAAAGAGTTTCAACATAGGATAATAATTACAAAATTAAATTAATTAAGTTTCATTTAACATAAATTTAAAAATAAAGTAAGAATTATACAAATGTCAAGAAAATTTTTAAAAAATAAATTAAGTTTCAAGAAATTTAAAGCGGATATAAGTATAAATATGTATATACTCATCATCATTCATGTACCTGATTTAATAAATCAGATATTAATTGTATTCATATTTGATAAAATCGGATATTTACTGTTAAAGTCAGAATAAGTTCGAGCATTACTCAAAAATACAAGTATACTCATCATTCCTATAGTAAATCAATATTTATTTTATATTTATAATAAATAAATATTTTAATATATAAATTATAATTTAATAGATATGTATTGTTAATGTAAACGTATTTACACGGTTAACAAATTAAAAATTATTATTAGCGTAAATTTTTAGTTAATTATGATAAAAGTTAATAATTTTTCAGAACGATTTATGATTAAATAATATGTAAAACACATTTTTACTATTAATGCATGTATTTTTTTATCCTATAAATTACATTACAGTTAAATTTCATATACATAATTTTTTTAATACTCAAATTATATTATAAATTTATAATGCACAATTTAATTTGAGCTATAAGATTGTTTTTAATTATTGATGTAACGACCCGGCAGGCCACAACACTCACAATTATAGCACACCGGAAACACTAGACAGAATAGAACGAGTATATAGATATAGTGTCTAGAATATAAATATATACATATGTTCCAAATCCGACTAGAGTTAGAGTATGCAATATATAAGGATTACATCAAAAGTCACTATGCCAAGTGACCAAACCAAAACAAAGCATCCATAGGAGTCAGCTCCATCTATCAGCTGCCGATTCATCACTATCTACCGCCTATCCCTGCTCTGCTCCAGTACACAGTACGATCATAGCAGTCCAACCACATGGAAACACAAAGGGTAAGCTAGCATAAAAAGGAACAACATATGGAAATTTTTTTAACAATAACAGCAAGTACAACCACCAACGAATCGTCAATTATGCATCCAGTCAGTTATTTCCACACAGATTCACCAATACACACAAGATGCGTCGTCACGCATATCACCTCGGAGATCTCCTACAACACCTCAGCCTTTCGGCCTACAACTCCTCATCCTTTCGACCTACAACACCTCAGCCTTTTGGCCTACAACAAACAATAGCAACACACAGTACAACACAACTATACCGACAACACATCAATTTCACGATTCAACATATCATCTATAATATAAGACTACTTTTTAGTCCATTCACCAGAACAATTTAATATCAACTTCAACGTTATCTACTAGACGTCATGTCATAACCTTCCAATTCAATTCAACTCAACATAAGCATCATATTCAATAATTTCATCTCCGCGCCCGGCGCACACGTGGTTGCGCCCAGCGCGGCGCAACCAGAGAGCACCAGGGGCCAACGCGCCCAACGCAGGTGTACCCGCGCCCGGCGGGACTCACCCAGAGAACCCAAGGCCCTCTCGCGCTTGGCGCAATCGCCATTGCGCCCAGCGCTGGCCAGGCAGAGACTCAAGGAATCTCATGCGCCCGGCGCACCGAACCACGCGCACAACGCGGGGGAGGCAGAGACCTCCCTTGGTCTCGCGCCCAGCGCAATTCAAATTGCGCTCAACGCCCACAAGACAGAGACTCCTGAGGGGTCTCACGCCCAGCGCGACAAGGGGCGCGCTCAGCGCCCAAAAGAAGAACCAAAACCTGCCACAACTGGTATCGCGCCCAACGCGGTCCAAGTCACGCCCAGCGCGGGCCAGCCAGAGACCCACATTCTCAAGCGTGCTCAGTGCACTCATCATTGCGCTCAGCGAGCTTGGCCAAATGGGGCCTCCTGGTGGCCACGCGCCCAGGCGCGAAGAACCGCGCTCAGCGCGAAGCTCAGCAGCAGCCAACCATTTTCGAAAAACTCTTCAAACAATCTGCAAAACAACCAGAAACTTCACATGCAATCGGTTCGAATCACTACAATTTCATCCAAGAGTCCAAAAATACCACCTTTTTCAACATGCAACAACACATCAAGGATTTTCCCCAAATTTCTCAACAACCCCGAAACCCCCAAAGAAAACAAGCTTTCTTTCAAATCCAGCCACGAATCAACCATCTACAAGCATCCAACGAGTTTCTAGAACTCGTCCACAACCAAAAATAGCGAAAAAGAACAAAAATACTAGTTTCCCTTACCTCGGGTGAAGATTCCGAGTTCCGGAAAGCTTTGAACGGAGGAGAGAAGAGAACTAATGAGCTTCGAATGCAAGAGAAAGGAGAGGGGATCCCGACACCAGCTAGCACACCTCACAACTCATCACCACCACCTTGAGTTCAAATAAGGAGAGAAAAGAGTTTTAGAGGATTGAAGGAATGAGGCTTCAGTTCAAAAATGAGAGGGAGAGGATGAGGTCTTGTGGAAGAAAGGAAAAAGTCAGAAAAGGGTCTCACAATTGATATTTAAAAAAAATATTAAAATTTAATTCTAAAATAAAAATAAAATTGATTATATATTAAAAGAAAATATTATTAAGAAGATCAAATATATAAAGATAAAAGGAGTATAGTTTGAAATGATTGAAATAATTATTTTTTGTTTGTCTAATTACAAAAGTAACATATGAAATATATATTTAAGGATATAAGAAAAATTTACTAAAAAAATCTAATTGATATAGTTAAAGTTTTAGTTTCTAAGTTGTGTATTTTAATTTAAAAAACAAGAGTAAAAAATAAAATAAGAATAAAAAAAATTGTTTAACAAACTTAAATTTTAATATTACGTTTTAAATATGAAAAATAAATTAATACACTACATTGTCTTGAAATTTATACAAGAAAATTTGGATAAAACACGTGCGATTTAGTGAGAATTATATAAACTTTATGCAAAAATAAAAAGTCTATTAAATATATGTATATAAGGATGAAACTCATTTACTCCTAGAGTAATTTATCGAGATTTACTCTACTTTTAATAATTTACAAATTTATATTAAATTTAAATGATTTAAATGTTAAATTAAAATTTATTATTAAATATAAGTCAAGTTTATAAAAATTAAACTTATTTAGTTCTTTGTTATATTAATTCATATCGATAAAAAATATATTATACATTAATTTATTGGATTAAGATTTTAAATAATAGAATGCTCGAATTGAAATTCAATTACAAACAAACGAGAGTCACATAAACTAGACTATAATTTTTTTTATAGTAAACATTTTCATACCAGTTCTGTTCACATGAACTAACTCTTGGAGAGCCTAAAATAGATCTTTCTTTCCATAACAATTCTATGACAAAACTCATTTTATTTAATGACAAACAAACTTATTTTATATTTTTCAATACAAGTGACTAACCTCATTTCTCTATTCAATTAAACATGAAACAGACTTCTTTTTTTTCATTTTCACCTATTATATTTTTACTCTTTTTCTCCTCAACCAAAAAAAAGAGAGTTAACTTTATGCCATCTATATACTTCCATCTCACCTATCCTTTTTCTTGGGCATTTTTTAGTAGCTTATTTAAGACATTAGACACACTAGACAAAGATAATGAAAGTAGGTTTTTTCACTCAAATACTTAACTTTTTGGTTGATTGACCAATTTAGGGTACTTTTTAAAATTATTTATGTAAATGGGACTGTTTTGAAACTATTTACACCTTTGGAGCATTTTATGGGCCATAGCGATACTAGTGATACCTGAACTTTTTTTTTTGTAATTACAAATGGCTAAAATTTAGCCAGTAAAAATCGCTATAGGCTGTAGCGATTTTTGCAAAGTCGCTATAGACTACATCCCCTATTTAAAAAATATAATTAATATATATATTTTTTATTATTAAAATAATATTTTATCTAATGTCGCTATGGGCTATAGCGACACAATGTCGCTATGGGCTATAGCGACACAATGTCGCTATGGGCTATAACGACACTACTTTATTTTATTTTATTTTATTTTATTTTATTTTATTTAATATTTTCATTTTATTTTAAAAACTTCTTTTTTTATATTTTTAATTAAAACTACACAAATAAATAAATTTATATTTTCAGTTTTTTGTTTAATTTAATTAAATTTATATTTTCAGTTTTTTGTTTAATTTAATTAAAAATAATTATTTGTGTAGTTTTAATTAAATTTTTTGTTTAAATCTATTAAGATTTTTTTTATATGTTAATTTAAAAAAAAGTTGACAAAAAAAATAAGTATTTAAAATAAAATAAAAATATGAAAATATAAAACTGCTCGGAGATGGAGCATGAAAGTATGAAACTACTTCCCTTTACACAAAATAGTTATTTCTTCATACTGCTAAATTACTTTCATCTTCTGTAGCATTAGTCATGATCACAAGAAAAAAAGGCAGTTCTGTCCACAAACCAAGTACCAACTATTATGACTGTACACGGAAACTATCCTTTTTTGCATGATAGATTTTTTCCAACTGGCATACGAGGCACTATGCCTGTAGCGACATGCTATATATATATTTTTTAATTTATTATATTATTAATTTATTTTAAATATTAATTTTATATTTCTATTTTTTCAATTTTTTTTCATTCAAATCCTTTATTTAATATATTGATTTTAATTTATATATTTTAATTACTTTTTTAAACATTTTTTTCCTTCAATTTATTAATTATTTTATTTTTAATATATTTTTCATATTTTTATTTTTTATGCTATTTCCATTTATATAAATAAATTCTGTCGCTAAATTTTTTTTTTTTGATTTTTTATTATACACTATACACAATTTTTAAATAAAATATATCTGTTAAAAATTTGTTTTTTTTTTATAGTATACTAGAGTCGTTATGGCATGTAGCGACGTTGTGGCGCTACATGCCATAGTGACTTCGTTTTTCTTTATTTTTTTAATGCTATTTCTATTTATATAAATAATTTGTGTTGCTAAAAATATTTATTGTTTTTTAAATTATATTTATACACTATACAAAAAATTTATAATTAATTACATTTGTTCAAAAAATTTATATACAAAAATTTTAAGTAAATTATTTTAAAAAAAATATTTAATTGGTGGAATTGTAGCCTACAGCGACTTCTTTGAAGCCGTTTTGTATCGCTATAGCCTATAACGACTTTGTTGGAAGCGTTACCGGCTGTAGCGACTTTCACAATATGGCGTTCATGGTTTCTAAAAATTAAAAAAAAAAAAGGACACGTCGCAATGATGTCGCTATGGGTCATAGCGACACTGTTGTAAAGTACCTCAAAAGCGTAAATAGTTTCAAAACATCCCTATTTAAGTAATTACTTTCTCAAACTACCCTACAATGATCAATCAGCCTAACTTTTTATATTCAGTTTTTAAACTGATCCCATTTTGGTGTTTCCTACTAAAAGTATAAAATAAAATAATAAAATAAAAAACTAGACTATTTTTTCTCTTATAATTTATTTTTGAACTTTTTCATTTTAACACCAACTAGACTAATATTTTAATTATTTCCATACGGATCCATTAGTTGGGTTTCCCCTTGCTTTGGCTTTGGCCCAAACATGTTTGAAAAACAAGAACAAATAATATTATGATGGTGTAAAAAGTTTGACGTGTGTCGTCATGCGGCGTCAAGATTCATAGTTATCCATTACTTTTGTTTATCCTTATTTTATTAATTTGGTATGATGTTAATTTCAACGTAAAAATTGACACAAAATCTCAAATGTCAATCTCAACAAGTCGAAGCTGAAACTCAAGTTTGGTTCGTACTAAAATCATTAATCAACCTTTATAAGCACGTGGTTATTTTGTTCCATCATCAAATTTTATGCCATCACATGTCTCTTTATTTTGTAGTGAAAAAAGTGTGGTAATACTAGGAATTTGAACCAACAAAAACACGCAGGGAAAGGACATCTATGGCGATTTGCAGGTTGAAATCTTTGCTTACTCTTTCCAAATGCAACTCTTCTGTGGCGATTTGCAGGTTGAAATCTTTGCTTACTCTTTCCAAATGCAACTCTTCTTCAGTACGCACTTTCTCTTCGGCACAGGTTCCCCCTCAACACTTGCAGGTCTCACTCTAATTTTGTCATTAATTTTGCCTTTCTAAGCTGAAATTGAGTATGTAAAACATTCGAATGTGTAGCATAAGCTTAATGTCGTAATTCCTCTTAAGCGTATGGTTAGTTACTTCAATTTGAATAATGATTTTTAATTTTTTTTTCTTTTCCTTTTTTGTGCTCGTGCTGAAAGATTACTATTATGAGTCTGTTTAGATATAGACTAAAAATGTTTTAAGTTTTTCTACTGAAAAGAGAAATTCTGAAAGATGCTTCTATGATTGCATCCAAACAGATTCTATAAGTTGTTCAACTACAAGTTTATCATGTTAATTGGCGTGTTCCCTTTGACATGTTGTTAACTTGATTGATGCATGTTTTGTAAATTTTCACTTTCTCCTCACTGATGCACTGCAGAATGTTGGATTCATTGGGCTTGGAAATATGGGGTCCCGAATGGCGAATAATCTGATCAAAGCTGGATTCAGACTTGCAGTTCATGACCTGTAATGTTTTTAGCAATTTCTTTATCTTATCATGCCGTTGTCCTTAAATGTGGCCCTGTGACAGTACTATATTGTTATTTTTCATTTGTAGATGCAATTCATAGGATATTGATATTTTGGGCATGGTTTGAGAGTATGCTCCATACGGGGAGTCTGAGTTAATGGCACTGTTAATATAATTGGGTTGTTTCATATTTATTTTTTTGTTAATTTAAGCAGAATGTCTGTGATTTTAATTGAATGTGCAAAAAATTGGCAGAAACTCTGATGTTCTCGAGATGTTCTCTCAGATGGGAGTTCCTACAAAGAAAACGCCTTATGAGGTTTCAGAAGCAAGTGATGTTGTAATCACAATGTTACCTTCCTCTGCTCATGTGAGTATGGCCATTAGTTCCAAATGCTTTTCCATATATGTGAATGCATTAGATCATTTGTGGCTTCACTTTCCTATACAGTTCTATTATCAGAAGTGGATGTGCTCGATGTGCTTCATTCAACATTGGTAAAAGGGTTCATATAAAACCTTCATAATTGTTCTTCAATATTCAAAATAATTGAAAAATAAAACTTGGAAAGTAAAACTTAAGACTTTACAAATTGTTTTCAAAAGAAAAGGCACAACTCCAAATACATATAAAAATTTATATCCTAGAATCCTCTGCCCCAATGTCACAATACCAAAGCACACCCACAATTCAATTATTGGCATTTTAGATGCCACTCAAAGCCAGATCTTCCTTACTTAAAACATCCACAAATTATACGGTGAGAAAAGAAAACATCTATATGTAAAGCACGTACAAACACACAACAATGTAATCTCATCATAACTCTATCAACCATGCATCAACTTCATATCACAATTTCGCAATCACACTAATCCATCACAAATTTTGCAATTAACCCTATACCGAGGTTACGCCTGTAGCATCTGTTGCCCAAGGTCGTGCCATCCCCGACATAAGCATGAGGAATCACCCATCCCATACTATGCCAAGGTCACGCCTGTAGCATTTATTGCCCAAGGTTGTGCCACCCCCGACATAAGTATTAATTGTCTCACACATCCCACCCTATGCCAAGGTCACACTTGTAGCATCTCTTGCTCAAGTTCGTGCCACCCTCAACATAAGCATGAGAAATCACACATCCTATACTATGTCAAGGTCACGACTGTAGCATCTTGCCCAAGGTCGTGTCACCCCTGACATAAGCATCAGGAATCACTCATCCCATACCATGCCAAGGTCACGCCTGTAGCATCCTGCCCAAGGTCGTTCCACCCCTGGTCATAAGTGTGAGGAACCAAAATCATATTCATATTCAGATTCACATTCACATACACATTCCATAACTCAATTTCACAAAACATACACAAAATCCACACAAAATAGTGGTTCACATAGTCCTCAAGCAATTCACCATGAATCCTCATCTATATTATTGACTTCTAGGTTTCCAATCTGCAGGTTTTCCATGAATGAGCCAGCATGTCTCCTTGGTGTGGTAAGGTTTTTGGCAATGATCACACCATGTCTTGGCCTCTTTAGGACGGATAGTCTTTAGATCATTTTTCCGAGACACAAGAGCTGAGTTTAGATGAGGATCCTCAATTGTAGGATTGTTTTGCAACATCACTTTCCTCCTACTTTCTTCTCTTCTAACCATGGCAAAGGCTTCCTTGAGAGTTGGTAGTGGTTTGAGGCCAAGGATCCGTCCCCTAACTTCATCTAATTCTTTTGTAAGTCCCTGAAGAAAATCAAATACCCTTTCTTTTTCCAGCATTTGGTCATACAACAATTTATCCTCAGAACATTTCCATGAAACAGTATAGAACAAGTCCATTTCTTGCCATAACTCTACCAACATATTAAAATACTCGGTTACAGATTTGTTACCTTGTTGAGTATTACGCAAAGCTGACCTTATTTCAAAGCATTGGGCTGAGTTTTGGAGGTCTGAGTACATCTCCTGAACAGTGGTCCATATTTCATGGGCAGTTTTGCAGAAAAGGTAAGTTCTGCCAATTTTAAGTTCCATTGAGTTTATCAACCAAGCCATGACAATGGAGTTCTCTGCATCCCAGTTACTGTAGGAAGGATCAGTCATTGGTGGAGCTGCAGAAGTCCCTGTAAGATAGCCCATTTTTCCTTTCCCTTTGATGACAAGAAGGACCGACTGGTACCATTCTCGGAAGTTTAACCCATTTAATTTGTGTTGGGTTATTTGAATTGAGGGGTTTAGGTCAATAGGTTGGAAGGATGAAGCCATATGGGCTGGGTTGTTTAGGTTTCTATTGGAAGGCGAAATATTTTCTGGTGTGGATGGTTGTGTGGGTGGCGCATCAGCCATGAAACTTTATTGAATTTTCATCTACGATGAAGAAGAATTGGCTCTTGATACCATATTATCAGAAGTGGAAGAAATCATTCTTCTTCTTATTATTCAAATGATTGGTCTAGTACATAAATAGGTAAAACAGGGAAATAAAAAAGGAAACAAATAATAGGCAATTCCTATAATTAAATAGTAATCCCTATAAATCAGTAACAACAATAAAGAATAAATCGTAGATCCTAATCCCTGAAATTCTGCAACATAATAATATCCCATAAATTTTGGGATTTCTATCCAACAAGTTCTTTAAGATTTAACCCTTCGGACTATGATTTCAATATGTTGTCTACTAGATCAGTCGATATGATAGTCATTTTCTTTGGTAAAAAGAAGAAAATAAATTTTATCATCTTTGATTTTACCTGTATTGCTATCTTTTGTACAAAAGCCTAGGCTTCTGATCTTTTAACCTAATTTTCCTCCCCCCTCCCCCTTCATTTCATCAATTATTTCCTATTTAACCTAGTGTAGCACATTATTTCAACTAACAGGATTGACCTTATTTAATAATCAATTCTTATATCAAATTATTTTGTATAGTCTTATCCTGTCTGCCATTTAGCTCTATATAAATGGTAGCATGTATATTTAATTAAGGGCCCAAATATAAAGTTATTAACTGTAAATGGTTATTTAGCTAAACAGTTTTCTAAACTGTGTACCTGAATATCTCATTTGGCATATTACAGGTTCAGTGAATTGTCTTATTGCTCCCAATATTATTATTTGACTTTGTTACTGATACCAAAATAACATCCTTATTTAATTTAAGTAGGTGATTGATGTTTACACTGGACCAAATGGTTTGCTTCATGGTGGAAAACTCCTAAGGCCATGGTTGTTGTTAGATTCATCCACTATTGATCCAGAAACATCAAGAAACCTTTCTTCTACAGTATCTAATTATATTCTAAAAGAAAAGAAAGGTAACATAAAAGTGAAATGTCAACCAAGTAAAGTATATTTTAACTTGAATTTTCATCTATGAAATTCTTAGTCTTTTGCTCCATAGAATTATTTGTCTCATGTTCGTTCATAACTAATATGTTGCTCATGTTCATTGACAACTTTAAGAAAATGTCTTTTCATTTGTGCATACTATGGCTATACTATCCAATTCACAAAAAAAATTGATATTTGTATAAAACTTGAGGGGAACCTATCTTGTCGGAGATCCAATATCGACTAATGAGATAGCTATACTAATGTTTATAAGTAGGGGATAATCGTCACCTTACAAACTTATTTTGTAAAGTTGAATTAGGCTTTACCCCACTTTCTTAAGATGGTGTCAAAGCATCTTAACACATTCATACTTATTATGTTTAACACCTTCTATCTCTTTATGTGTGTTCATTTTTCTACCCCACACAAACCCATGGTTTCACATTTATTGTTAAAATCACAAAGCAGTGGGTTCTGCAATTTATATATCTTACTGTCATATATTTTAAAAAGATCTTTCAATTTCTTTTCTGAATTTCTTAAAACTTTTTATCTCACTGTTTTATGTCTTTTGTCAATCACGTGACAAATGTTTCTAATGTTATACCTATTTGTTTCACCTGTCTTTCTCATAAGAATGGGTCTAATTTCTCATCAAATTACCTAAGAACTAATTTCTTTTATTGTTTTGCATCATGTTCCTTCAACTTTTTAAATGCTGAAGTTAATAATAGGTCTGTGGTTAAGGCATGTGTAAAATAAGTATAGAACTACTACAACCTAACTGGTTCCAAACTGAAATTTTCTCACTACTTTCTGTCATTCTGTGTCATATGATTGTATTCAGTTGTCTAGCTTTTAGCTCGAGTAGATTTGGCCTTTTAGTCATTAGCCATTACTTCGTAAATAGATTCAAATTTATATTCATTTTGAAGACGGCTCTTAAACGAAAATGCATGGGTGTTCGATAAAGTCTTATAGAGAATAAGCTGTCTCATTATATTCTTCTTTACAAATGGGTATAGTGGCTGGCATAAAATCCTACATGTCTATCGATTGATTTCAAGCGATTAGTAGGTTGAACAATTTACTCTTTTAATTTTGTGGTACTGAATGATTATACATTGTGTAGGTGATTGGGAAAAACCTTTCAAGTTGGATGCTCCTGTATCTGGAAGTGTGACTGCAGCTGAAGCTGGGACACTTACTTTTATGGTATTGTTACTATTTTATTCTAATCTTCAGAAAATTTGCATAAACTACAATTTTCTTTTAGTAATAATTATATTTTTATTGGTCATGCGTTTGATCCTTGAAACCAGACAAATACTGTATCACTAATTTTTTCAGTTCCTATTGGGGATGGTAATTTTTAGAGTAGACTCCCAATTTGGTCTTTGAAAAATTAGTGACTTTACATTAGACCTTACATGGTTAATCATGCTCATTGAATAATATCAATCTGGTCCAAGTTTGCAGTAACATTTGGACTATTATGGTGTCAAAGAAGTATCGTTTCAGTACCAAATTGGTGCTGAGATGATCAAACTAGTAGTTCACTGATGTTTAGTATGTTAACTGTAAGTTTTTGGCGAAATTGGGTAATGAACAAGATATGGAACTTCCCCAGGTTGGTGGCTCTGAGGAAGCATTTCTTGCTGCAAAACCCTTGCTCTTTTCAATGGGTAGAAGTGCAATCTATTGTGGTGGAGCAGGAAGCGGTTCTGTAAGTTACATACTTATAACTAGGGTAGGCTTATTGGTATTCTCAATTGCATGTTTAATTGTAAGTCATATATTTTGTCTTGGTGTTTTGTTATTAGGCAGCAAAAATCTGCAATAATTTGGCTTTGGCTGTGAGCATGCTGGGAATATCAGAAGCTCTTGCTCTAGGTCAATCTCTAGGTGTTCCTGCCAGCACCTTGACAAATATATTTAACTGTTCCAGTGCTCGCTGTTGGAGTAGGTATGTGGCTCTTTTACCTCTCGACTCAATGTGAAAATTAGCTGCAGAACTATATTGGTTTCATCAGCACCATTAACAATGTGGTAGCAAAGATTCTCAAAGGCCTTAGAATTTGTATGTTATATTGTAGCTATAAAGGAGTAGGTAAGAAATAGGATTATCGGAGTATAGTTCCCCAAAGACAAATGAAAGTAACTTGTTCAAAAGGCCATAATGATGAAGTACATAGCGAGACGCATAAGAGCATCTGCAATGGAAGTTGCTTATAAGCAACCTCCATTGCAGATGCTCTAACTAGTTTCCTTGACATAACTTCACTGCAAGTGACATATTCTAAACTCGGTCTGTGTTTTCCTCAATAATTACTGTCCTCATATATGTTGTCTTATTGTACTCTTTGAGACTCTTGTAGTTTTCTCCTGATAACAAAAATATGCTTCCTTTTTCAGCAACAAAATTTTCCATATATAGCATAGTTCACTGTCTTTAGGGAATATTTTAGAAGATGAAAGTTTTAGTATTTAGACAATCAAATTAATAGGTTGTAGTTGCATTGATTACAGTGATGCTTACAACCCAGTTCCTGGGCTGATGAAAGGGGTGCCCTCGTCTAGGGATTATAACGGAGGGTTTGCATCCAAGCTTATGGTAAGTAAATGAACTTTGGCTCAAGTTGTACATGTTTAATTTGGAACCAAATCAAATCTTTTGATTTATACTAAGATTTATTTGATTTATACTGAGATTTATTTGGGAGAGTTACAAAAGAAATTTTTGTTAAAATTATTTTTTATTGTCTTAAATATGTTTTTAATCCCTCAAATTTAGGATAAATCTATTTTTGGTCCCTCAAATTTAAAATTATTTTTAGTTCCTGTAATTTCAAAAAATCTTAATTTAGTCCTTATATTCAAATTTTGTTAAGAATTTTATCAAACATTATTGTATAAAATCTACTTATTGGTGTCCCTATTAATGAAAATATCACATTAAATCCGGTTGATATTGCATAACTGTCTTAATTAGTCACTTTCAAATATGTTATTGGTGACCTACGGGACTAAAACAAGATTTTTGAAAATTATAGGGACTAAAAACAACAATTTTAAATTTGAGGGACCAAAAACAAATTTATCTTAAATTTGAGGGACTAAAAACATATTTAACTCTTTTTTATTTAGAAATAACTAACTTACTGGTAGATGATATTCAAATAATTAACATTTTCTTTTCTAAAAAATCCCTCTACTCTCTTGGTAGCTAGCTACTTGACAACTTTGGGCCCATTAGTTAAGCTCTACATGCTCTTTATGAAATTACATGCTGACTCTTTTAGCAATAGAATGTTCGTAAAAATTTTCCTTTTTTTGTCTAAAAAAAAATTGTCCACTATGTTGTAATTCATTTCAAATTGGCTGAAATCATGCTAGGTGTTGCGTTGAATTTCTCAATATCAAATTTAATTTGACATCGCAAAATCTCTTGAACCAAATTCATGCATCTTGATTGAAAAGAAAGGATAATTCTCAATATGCAACAATGTCTGTCATTTAAGCAGAAGGGATTGTACTTTCTATATTTTATTGGGTTACAACCTGGGAACTGCCAGAAATTGTTTACTTGGTACTCAATTTCTTTTTAGAGCTTTTGCAATATCCTACATTAATGATGTTGACTATCATGCTGCTTCAGAACTTTTCGTTTATTTCACTGCATTCCTACGGTCTATATATTATACATTTCTTGGCTGCCTTGTTTACTCTTTTTTTTTTTTTTTTTTTTTT